ATTTACTTTAAATATGCTCACCCTTTTCCATTTTTCTTCTGGATGTCTCATTGTCTTCAACTCTAGTCTTCTCTTCCTGCACTTCCCATCTATTTTTTCATAAGAATACCTGCAGAGTTTATTCTGATAAGTAACACCCAACCACTGATGGTTATGCTTGAGATTTCACAGTGAGGCACAACTGATTGATATCGAATTTCTTCTGCTGATGACATTTTATTCTTAAAATTGATTTGAAAGAAAATCAAATATTAGATTTGGAAGTACTATTAAACTCTTTTCAGTTGAATCAGCTTCAAGAACACCATGTCATAAGCAGAAGAAATTGAATATCATTTGGTTGTACCTCTCTATAATATCTCAAGAACAATAACAAGTAATTAACAGGTACCAGTCGGACCTTACGAAGCGAGCAGTCAAACTTTTTCGAAAGTGGTTGTAAGCGTTCAAGCTGAAACATCAAGAGTCCGTTTAACGCTTATTTCTTAGACATGAAAAAGCAGCTATTTTCGCCTCAGTTATACGTGAAAACAATGTGTAAAAACCAACTAGTGCATCACAAGAACGCCTTAAAGGTTTTTCTCCAGAATAATGTGACGTCTTTTGCAAGCAAACAAAATGTTTTTAGCGATAAAAAATAAAAAAACATCAGAATAGAGTGGGAAAAAACTATTAGAAAGTTCTCGTGATGTACTAGTTGTTTTTTACACCGTCTTCACATATCATTGAAGAGAAAATAGTTGTTTTTTCGTGTTTACGAAATGACCGTTTAAATGGCCATTCGATGTTTCTCATTGAACGTTTACACGCGTTTTCAGAAAAGTTTGAATGCTCAGGTATCATCCATTTTCTTGAAATAAAGATTTTTCTTAAAATCATTATATAGTGAGTTCATAGGCCGAATACAGACGAACTCAATTGCATTTTATTACAGAAGATTCAGAGATGGATGCCTGCTCTGAGTTCATGGAGCACTCATGGAAAAAGAATATATGCTGTAATTGCTTTCAACGCAAAGAGGATCACAATTCTCCACAAAACAGACCAGTCTCGTCTCCTGGTACAGATTCATGCACTACAAAGCCAGACAAATCAAATCGAAACAATAATAGCACTGAAGCAAAGACTGTATCGAATTCTGCAAGCAACCAAATGGTGAAAGAAGAGAAAATAATTGCACTTCGGACAAAAAATACATCTGGTAAAGTATTATGGAAGATACGAAATATTACAAACGTGCTTTCAAATTTTCAGGTGTAACCTAGAAAACGAGTGGCATGAAAATTCAAAAATCAGAGCGTAGTGGGTCAGCAATATGATCTTTCGTATACCCTTACATAGCTTTCAGAAATAGGATAAAAATATTGGTGCTTGCAGTTTTTGTACTTTTCAAACATCAAGTATAAGAATTTGTACTTTAACAAGAATACATTTACTTCCGAATACAATGGTATGGTAATTGAAGCAAATTTTCATGCGACTACGAATAATTGTATTTGGAAGTAGAAGTACAAATATTTATCAGTCAAATAAAGTACTGCAATTTTACTTGTTTTCCTATTCTCGCAAAATGGTATTCTAAAGATTATTTTTGACATTTCTTTCTGAGGTTTTTGTACCGTGAACCCGACTTTTTCAATATTTTTACTCATGCAATCACATCAACTGTTGCTTGTAAACCAAAGCGTTTGTGATTCTTCATCATACTCTATAATTTTGCAGCAATTTGCTTCATTTTCCATAAAAAAGTGATTGTCGCTGCAAAATCGAGCTCAGGATATCTGCTAATTATCACTATCAAAGCTGGATCAGAAAGCTAGTTATTAGCATAAGACTGACTGTTTTTTCAAACGAGTACCTCGTTTCTATATTTTAGAGAGAACAATAGACGAAACCAAAATTCAAATTTGGATCCAAATTGAAGGAAACGAGCCAGAAAAAGCTGTTTTTGATCGATTTGCCGATATTGATGATTTGAAAGAAAAGCTCTTTGTTGAGCCAAACATCAAACGTTTATATCGTGTTTACTATAAAAATGAAGCCTTGGATCCTGGAGCAAATATTCCACTAGATACGACAAGACATCAACTGTTGATACTGAAAAAAATACCAATACCCCCATCAAAAGAACCTTCGAGTAAATTATTTCGCGAAATGCAAGATGCAGCAAAAGCAGTGTTCTTATCTTTTTAGATGTGCCATTAACAGCAAGTGACATGGAAACAAAAACAGAAGAATATAATAATTCAGATCAAAGGTAAAAATGTCACAAAATAGCCCTTTCTTGAAGAATAGTTTATAGCTTTGCGGATTATTTCAGTGTTGATAAAGAAAGTCATGATACAGAATCATCGGACTGGTTGAATACTCATCATTCGACAAACCTTAACGAGCGAAAGCTAGAAGGTAAACTTTCAAAGGTGTTTCCCGTGGATTAGTCATTTTTATGAGAGGGAAAAACATTTGTTGATTCCATTTCGTGTCTACGGCAATAATTCTGGATTTTTTAGTGTTCAGTTTTAGATGCATTTCGCTATCAATAGAAAAATAGTAAGGTATGGGAAAAAAGTTCGTGACATTTTCTTATCGACATTAATAGAAAAATTTCTAACTTTTTTTTCATATAATATACTAAAAGATGCAGCGTGAAAAGCTCTACAATTTGCATAAGACCGCTTTTTTTACAGTCGCACTTTTTGTTTTAAAAATCGTCAAAACTTCGAACGATCAAATTTCGACGCTGCAAAAAGATAACACAAACGATAAATTATCTTATTTCTTATTTTATCTTTTCATTACCTGTATATATTGTAGAGCTTTCTACGCTGCATCTTGTGGTATATTTTGTTTTTTTTACGAAAACATATTAGGAGATAAAATGATGAAATAAGAAAAAAAGAAATGTCTTTTCATGTTATCTTTTCGTAGCGTCGAAAATTGGCCGCACAGAATTTTGTTTTTTTTTTGTATACAAAAAGTAGACAATTAGAATAAGCTTTCCTTCGTGGATTGTAGAGCTTTCTACGCTGCATCTTTTGGTATATTTTGGTTTTTTTTAAATAAAAGATTTCAGGTGGTAAAGAGGAAAAAAACGCATTGGCCGTGTATTGAACAAAGACTTTTTCGCAGCATCGAAATCTGGTGGCTCAGAATTTTTGTCGATTTTGAAAACGAAAAGTACAGCTGTAAAAAAGTCGTCCTATGTAAATTATAGAGCTTTTCACGCTGCATCTTGTGATGTATTTTGTTTTTTTTTAAATAAAGATATGAAGTAATCAAAAGATGAATAAGTCCATCTTGTGCCGAAAAAAATATCGTTTTCACACGGTCGAAATTTGATTGCTTGAAGTGTTGACGATTTTGAAAAGAAAAAGGGCAACTGTAAAAAAAGCGGTCTTATGCAAATTGTAGAGCGTTTCACGCTGCATCTTTTAGTATATTATATGAAAAAAAAAGTTCTTAGAGATTTTTCTATTAATGTCGATAAGAAAATGTCACGAACTTTTTTCCCATACCTTAGATATCGCTGGAGATTGATATGTGAGTTTCAAACTTACGTTCTCTCTTTCAAGAAGTTGAGCTTCATCGAAAACATCGAATTTTGATGCCCTTGTCTTCTTCAGCATAGGATCTCCGATCAAATCCATGATACCGCGCTCAAACTTTGTGTACATATTGGGTGTTCCTTACATATAATGAGAAGAAACTTTTCGACCTGTCTCTAGATCTGTTAGATCTTCGAGCTTTTTAGTATCCATAGGTATAAGCATAGTTCTTTTTTTCGAGACCTTTTCGTATCTCTAATGGCATTCGACTATCTTGAGACATAGAATAAAATCTGTTTTCGTATTTTGAAGAAGACACTCGGGACCAGTGATTCTCATTGTTCTTCTAAAAAAAAAGGTCTTAGACAAAAACGTGCTTTCATAATTGAATATTTTATCAAAATTTCGCTCATCGTTAAGCTTTTCTGAAAATTTTCATCTAACGTATGACTGAAACAGTAAGAAAAGGAAGGAAATAAAAAAAGGCCTCAAGAATCACTAGTCCTAAGTGTCTTCAAAATAAAAAAAAATAGGTTTTATTCTATGTCTTAAGGCAGTTGGATGCTGCTGGATGTGCGAACGACTCCAGAAAGTGTATTATACGCGTACTGAAACTGCCCTATCTCCGACAATTTAAGAGATATAAGGTTGAAATATTTGTTCTGTTTATAGTTAAGGAACACTGATGTGTACAAAAAGTTTTAGCTCAATGGTGTGCCATAACTTGAAAGACCCCTGTGTTTCAGAGGAATGCGTTAAGGTGCTTAGCTGAATTCTGTGATGTCTTGAGATTGAAAATATCTATTCAGCAATAAGGTAGGCGATACTTACATTTATCAGAACTCAGCCTAGCAGCTAAAATCCAATTTCAGTAACAAAGACTTTTCAAAAAAATAATAACTCCCAATAAAGCAGTATAGTGAATCTAGTTCATAAGTTGCAGAGATAGACGACATGTGACATTTGTCCCATATGGTCTCCCGACGGGTCAAGACGAGAAAAATTAGAAGATTCTTCCTTTTCCAGGTTGCAACCTTTATGTGTTTTTTCCAATTCATTGATGAGTCATGTCCATGTCAATAGAGAACGATGTAATTTTCCTAATACTTGGATGTGTTCTTTCCTTTTCCAGGAATTATTACCTATGTTCATACATTTAATTGTTTTCTCTCTCTACATCTCAATGCTGTGATCTTGTTAATCAGTCTCTTTTTATATTCATTAAAATAAGCAATTAAAATTGTCTCAATTCGTTGTTTCTCATTGATTATCAATTGAATTCAAGACTAGTAAATTGTTTCATTTGCGAGAGTTATTTTCTCTGTATATTGACCCGAAGAGAATCAGCTGAATTTAGCCGACATTTAGTCACAACAGATACCATCCTCATTCCCTGTTTGCACTGATCTTTCAGGAGATAATAATGCCGATATTGATGTTGACTTCCGAAAGAAGATGCAATCAACACTTCGAGAATCCAGTAATGAAATGGTTGATGAAATATTTCATAGTTTATCCAAAGATATGCATATCGTCGTTTGTGGTTCACCTCGTGTTGGTAAAAGTACCTTGATAAACGCCATATGCGGACGAGAAGTAGCTGAAGCTGGAGAAGGCCTTGCTTCAGTAACACAAGCTATCCAGTGCTATACCGTGGAAGGTCAGTGCAACACTGAATCAAATACCATTCATTATAAATATAACTTTTGGGATACACCTGGATTTGAATCATGGGATAAACACAATATTCGGCCGAAATTAAAAGAGATCATTGGAAAGCCTGACTCAAAACCTGTCTGTATGATATTTTGTGCATCGCCTGTCACCTTCGTCGATCTTACACAACTAGAATGGCTTTTGAACTTGTGCATCAATAAAGAGCACATATTCTGTGCTTTGGTTTGCACAAATAAGTATGCTGGTCAACTTAAGAGTCGTCATGCTGTTTTGGACACGTTTAAAGCGCTATTGTCGAAATTTGTTAATGAGCCATCAAGGGTTGAAAATGATATCACGTTGTACGGTCACATTGGCTTGTGTGCTTCAGTTAACAGTGAACCCTATGAAAGTGAAAATGGTGTATTGCCCAAGTCCGGTATTAATGAACTCATTCATGGCATTATGGAATCACTTGTCGATGAGCAAGTATTAAAGTGGTGTTTCGTAGTTTTGGAAAATGAAGGCTTCTGGAATGAATTTAATCATAAATTTGCCACCGGATCAGATGCCGTGAAAAGAAATTTGAAAACGATAAAAAAATTTTTCAAGCGGATAAAAAATCGAAAGGTCGATAAGAAGAACACTGGTACTACTAAATGATTGATGAATTTTTGCTTATATCTTGATGAAAACTTTCCAGTATAGTTTATTCAATGTTCATCGTGTGAATTCGATTTATAATAAAAAAAAATAGCGCAGAAAACTGCTTTAAATCAAATAATTGACAACGATCAAAAGTTTCGTACAATTCTTTTGTAATTAATACCAGTTGAGAAAACTTTACATGAATATACATGCTCTAACGAACGTCTCAATTATTTTCGAACTAGATAATTCCTATGTTTGACCAAATCTAAAATGTGCTCCTAAAAACTGAAAATGCTCGTGAAGAAACACGGCTATGAATCAGTATGATCTTAGATAATTATATACAGGATTGGGTTGGAAATCTCTATTGCTTTTGCGTAACTGTTGCTCAATAACGAAAACTTGTTTATCATTCTAAGAACAGAATCAACAATACACATTTTCTTATCAAAGAACCTATATATTTTATAATGTTTTTATTCAGATATTATTCAACTTATCTATTCGAGATCGCTTCCCATATCGCAAATACTGGATCATTTTTAGCGGTAAACCGCGGTACACCACGTAAATTGCGGTAATGGGAGCCGGTAACCGGTCCGGTAAAACCGCCGATTTTCTTCCGATTTTCATCAGATGAGTTGTAATTCATGAAAGATTTCAGAGATTGAACTTTTTCATCTCAGAAGAATAATTTTATTTCATAGACGTTCGAAGGACGCATTGCACGTTGGACATAAACAAATTATCAATTAAAACATTAGTACAAATCTTGTAGAATCAAACCTAATCAATACATTAATTGGGTTAGTCAATTGAAAACTAATATGAATGATCTCTGGTTGACTACATATGACACGGATATTAGAAATATCTTTCGAAAATGTTGAATGATTCCACGTGACTGAAAATTGCAAAGATATTTTCTTCTGAAAACTCAGCTACATAGATAAATACCAAGTAATAAATAAAATCATAACTGATTCTAGTTCTTGTGAGTGATTAATATCAAGAGATCTTTCAAAGGCATGAAATGAGAATTCAAACAAGAGAATAACGACCATGTTCCAATCAAACTGATCGTACGAATTAGGTATGTTCAGAAGAGAATTAATCATCATAAATGTTGACTTGTGAACAGAAATCTTCAATGAAATAATTGGTGCCACAGCAGTTAACTGTAGTTTAACCTTGGAAGATGACATAAAACTCGCACGAAGACGTTGAAGACAAGGGGTTTGTTCTAATATACGAGGTAGTTTATTTAGTTATATTGATTTTTACACGGTTAAATACCAAATTGATTGTGAGAGTTCTGTCAGTCTAGTAAAACAAATTTCATCAACAAAATGAACATCTAGATTTCAATGTGTAAGGGTGTGGGTGTGAGTCTATTCGGAGTGGAGCTGGAGATGTATATTACACCAGCACCCACACTCACATTGGAGGTTCTCAGCTCCAATGTATGTTTCAGGGTCTATGGTTGATAGTGCTCACCAAGTTTACTTATGAAGCAGACACTGCTCCAGCGTGAAAATTAGAAACAACAATAAAAGACGATGAACAGTTGATTCAAATATCGGTCCTATTCGAAAATCACTTCGGAAATTAGCTTCAACTTAGAATTATTCCTTCTACATTTAGCGCTATATCACTCTCAATTCACGTGGATGATTTTCATTAAGTGTGGATGTGAGGTGTACGATAAAAGAGAAGTTCAGCATTCGTACCAAGGGGGAAACAGCTGATTATTTGATTAGATATGATTTGAAGTGATTAGCAATGATTAGTCTTGATTAGTAGTGATTAGCCTTGATTAGGAGTGATTAGTCTTGATTAGAAGTGATTAGAGATGATTAGGAGTGATTAGGAGTGATTAGAGATGATTAGGAGTGATTAGGGATAATTAGGAGTGGGCATGCAACGGTGACGAATAATCGGTCGACCGGTGAATTGATGAAGCGGTAATCGCTTAGACCGAACAAACGATTAAACGGTAACCGGNGAGAAGAAAGGCCCATGGGCCCTTGTCCTTTTGGGCTTTTTCTAATCTCATTGGACTCTACTTATGGGCAAAATATCGGCTTAAAAGCTTTGAATCACTTCGAACGGTTCCCTCGTTAGTCTTTCAGATGAGTTCGATCAAACGTTGTCGAAATGAAATTGGGTTTTGTTTGTGATAATTGTGCGACATATTATGTGTCTGTGCTCCAAAAATAGATGTTCGCCGTCGCGAAGTTTTTATACGCCTATCCGGAAGAGAAAATCTAGATGAAACAATGGCAACTTCTACTTTCGTTGAACACCTTTATGATAAGAACTGACAATGTATGATGTCTGGATATTCTCTTTTTCCTTGATCAAGAGATTCTTATCAAAAACATATATTCGTAGAATCATAGTTGCATTAGTTAATATTATCTTATACGTATTGATATTATAGAAAATTTTTTTATTTTTAGTTGAGAATGAAAATCATTGTGATTTTAAAAAATTACGTGATAGTCTTATTGAGAAAAATATGCTTGATTTAATCGAAACAACACATTCAAAACATTATGAAATGTTTCGACGTAATCGTCTTACTGAACTTGGTCTTGCTGATAATATTGATGGTAAACAAATGTCAATTAGTGATACACTTGACATGAAACGTAATGATCTTCGACATGAACTTGAACAACGTGAACAACATCTTAAAGAAGCATTTATTCAAAAAGTTAAAGATAAAGAAGCTGAATTAAAAGAAACAGAAAAACAAGTTAGAAATAAATTTTAAAAAAAAAAAAATATTTTATTTGAAATTTTGTTTTAGATAAACGAACAATTAACAAATATAAAAAAACAATATAAAGATCAAAAAGATAGATGTGATGAAAAATGGCGTATACTTGAACAAGAAATAAATTTATTTGAACAACGTAAACGTACTAATATGGAAACAATGAAGAAAGGCACAAAAAAGAAATAAATTATTATTATTATTTTCTTTTTCTTTCACATTTGTTCTCGAATTATGGCTAAATTTTGTTAGATATACATATTCTATGCAATAATCTCTGTCTTGCACTAGCTTTTTTTTTTTCGTCTCAGGTGTATCCTATCGCAATGATCTTCCGAGAACAAATGTCAGATAGATTTGCACACATAAATGCTTTACAAATTTTCACGCTGTTATTACTATTTTTTAGAATACACTTTATCTGTGTGCGCGTTTTGGCGTTTTTTTTTTTGTCTTTTCATATATATATACATCTCGTTCACTTTTTTTTTCTTGATGTGCGTTTTTTTTTTTTGGTCTGCAATAGATTTGACAGCACATTCTCCTATTTCTTTGTTCTCTTGCTAATTCTAATACTATTCCATCAATAAATATTCAGAAAAAAAAAAAATCTTTGTTTTGTTTGATTTTTATAAAGATAATTTCGAACTTTATTTAAGTAAGAAATAAGATGTAAAAATTATGTCTATTGAAATTTTTTCGTTTTTCAGATAATGAGTGCTGACAACAATGATTCCGCACCTTCTTGTGTCTTTTTTAAAGCTCCTATTCGTCGTGGTAATGTAACAACATCATCAAAACGTCGTCAAGATTCATCATCAAATTCTTCATCATCATCAGGTGATGAAGGTCAACCATCGGCTTCAACATTTCGTTCTTCACGAACAATAAAAAAAGGTCTAGTAACAACAAGTAGTAATAGTTCATCAAATAAACGTCGTCAACAATATATTGAAGATGATGAAGATGATAATAATAATAATACAGATATGAAAGAAAAATTACTTGATGTTAAATTTAAATCTGATCGACAAACACAATCACAAGGTCCAAAAGATATGGGTGCAACAGCTACAGTTGAAATTGATACTGATCTACAACATGATCAACAAGCTATATTTGAACGTGCAAAAAAAATTAATGAAGAATTAAAAGGAAAAAAAGATGATAAAATATATCGTGGTATGAATAATTATCAACAATTTTATGAGAAAAAAGATACTGCACAAGGAAATGCAAGTAGTGGTCTTGTTCGAAATAAAGGTTAAATCAATTTATTTATATTTTCATTTGTTTATATTTAGATTTAATTATTTAGGTCCAATTCGTGCACCTGCTCATCTTCGTGTATCTGTTCGTTGGGATTATCAACCTGATATTTGTAAAGATTATAAAGAAACAGGTCTGTAAATAATTAAAATTTAATCTAATATAATATTTTTGTTTATTATGTTTTATTTTAGGTTATTGTGGTTTTGGTGATAGTTGTAAATTTTTACATGATCGTTCTGATTATAAACATGGATGGCAAATTGAACAAGAATGGAATGAACAATCATATGGTGCTGTTGATGATAATAGTCAAAAATATTTTGTTGGAAATAAAGGTGGTCGTTCAGCTGCATGGAATGCTTTTTCATCTGGTAATAAAGATCATTCTCATCATCATCATGAAGCTAAATCCGATGAAGAAGAACAAGTAAAATTTGATTAAATTTTAAAAATAAAAAAAAAAAAATTTCAATATTTATTTAGGATGAAGATGGTTTACCAATTCGATGTCCTATTTGTCGTAATGCATTTAAAGAACCAGTTATTACGAAATGTCGTCATTATTTTTGTGAATCTTGTGCATTAAGTCATTATAGAATTAATCCAGGTTGTGCTGTATGTAATGCTGCAACAAGTGGTTTATTTATGCCTGCAAAAGAAATTGTTGCTAAATTAAAACAACAAAATCAATTAAAAGAACAACTTAGTAAATCATCAACATCAAAAAATGATGATAATCATACAAGTAGTGATGATGATGATGATGAAGAAAATTCTTAATTGTATATTTTCATTTCGTGCGTTTAACAAATAAATCGTATGGTTAATTCTGCATTTTTAATCTTTATTTTTAAACTTGAAAAATTTAGCATCACCGATTTCGGTTTTTTTTTTTGCTAAAGATTGTCGTCCATGTGAATGATAAGCAATTAGAAGCAGTAATAAAATGTTTGGATTTTTCTCGTTTGAGCCAGAACAGTTATAACCGAAAAGATCTGATCAACAAACACGTTGATGATAGTTCTATTTTCAAATTTCAGTTAATCTCCTATATACCTCTGAGAAAAATTTTTAGTCAATTATTTGAATCTACAGTCCTGGACCAAAGTTTAAGTGAAATTAGTTTTTCACTATTTTTTTCACATTTCTTTTTCAGTATATTTTTTTCATTTTATCAGGTATGGGTCTGATTCAAATAGTGATATATACGGTATAAGAAGCTAGCTACATGATGTATTATAGAACGAGACTCCATCTACCTATATGGATATTTTATAATAAAAAATTTTTTTTTTCTATGAAAAAACAGCATTAGGTGCCTTTCAGTATTTCGCATTCCCTAACCAAGAGATTTATGCTAAAATAAAAGAAAATTATATCAATCGATAGAGCATTTCACGCCCTATCAGTTTGTAAAAAAGGATTTTTTCCTGGAGTCGATCTTCGTCTCTCAAACTTGGCTTTAGGGAGAATAGTCAGCAAAACGGAAAAAGTGAAATTATCCCCTACAAACTCCCTCTTATCACAATGTTTTATACACCATTGGAAAGAGCATTCAAAACTGAACAAAATGTTACATTTAAAGTTCGAATATCACTTGATTTTTCACGTCCAGCTTATTGAAATAAAGTTTTGCAAAACACAACTGGCTGTTCTTTCTTAATTATTTCGACAGGAGAAAAATGCTGACTATTCTCCCTAAAATCAAATTTGAGAGATGAAGATCGACTACAGGAAAAAATCTTTTTTTACAAACTGATAGGGCGTGAAATGCTCTATCGATTGATATAATTTTCTTTTATTTTAGCATAAATCTCTTGGTTAAGGAATGCGAAATACTGAAAGGCACCTAATGCTGTTTTTTCATAGAAAAAAAATTTTTTTATTATAAAATATCCATATAGGTAGACGGAGTCTCGTTCTATAATACATCATGTAGCTAGCCTCTCATACCATCTATACCACTATTTGAATCAGACCTATACCTCATAATATGAAAAAAAAATATACTAAAAAAGAAACGTGAAAAAAATAGTGAAAAACTGATTTCACTTAAATTTTTGTCCGGGACTGTATTGCCACTATAAAAAACATATTTAAAAAAAAAGAATTATATACTTTACTTGAGCTCGGAATTCTTTATCATTCAATATAGTTTAACCAAATCTTAAATTTATCTTTCGATAAATATTCCCTAGACATACTCTAAAAAATGTACATGTTTCATATATCTTTTTATTTGTTTTTTTTTCATTCCATAAGAATATTAAATTTGACATAAGAGAAAAAAAAATCGTTTCAAAAAATTTCTTAATGATTATACCTATCAAATACTTGCATTATTCATTTGAGCTTAAATGCAATATGAGAGAGCAATATATAGAATGATAAAGAATTTTACGAACTATCAGAAAAGATAGTTATTTTTTTAAAGAGAACTATTTCTATGGTGATAATAAATTTAAAAAGTTAATTGAAGAGTTAATGACTAAATTCAATTTGTGGAAATTGGATAATGAGGATACTTTCACTGCAGTTGATTTATTTTTCAAGCAGTAGGTGCAATTTAAAACATTACTTTGCAAAGTGATAGAAAACTCCTGGCACATATTTTCTTTTAGAAGTATATATAGAATAACTCATAAGTTTTGAGTCTCAATGAAAATAAGTTTATATGTAAACAAAAAATGATCTCTACCCAACCATATCTATATAAGTGCTTGAGATAATGTTTTAAATGATGTTATCTATTTTAATCATAGTGATAATTAAAATCTCGAAAACGATTAAAGTTTTAATGAACTATGAATTCATTGTATGTAACGTAATACAATTATATAAAGCGATACGTAGTACTTAAGGTGTGAGTGTAGCTATCCTTTATATGCGCATCCTAATTATCACGTATCTACTGTATATATCAATATTATTAAAAAAGATAATATGATCGGATAATATAACATTTGAAACATCATTCTAAGTACACAAAGTTCAGATAGATATAGGTCGGTAGGCATTACTCTTTGTGTTTATATATATGAAATAATTTTCTTTGAGACTCAGAACCTATTGGACACCTCTTACTCCGTCGAGTACTATCAATCAGCAACATATTTAGAGTTTTTTCATTAGTGATTAAACTCCCTCGAAATAAGTCAATGTTCGTCAAAATTTAAGCAAAAAAATATTTTTCGTTTTCCGATCGAATCTACCAGAATTTGATTGTAGCCAATTGCATGTATTTGTTTGAAAGAAAAATATCAAAATGCAGAGACTTTTTTTAATTAAGCTTTCTTACTATTATATAAAAGAATACATTTATAATTAGAGCGCCATTTTTTTAAGAGTTACTAAACTTTTCTTCGCTTAAAAAAGTAAGGCAAATAGTTCAGTGTGTACAATAACAAAGGCTTTCCAGAGAATTATAGGTTGCTAAATCCGCTATTATATCTTGAAAAATCTTACTGGATTTCAGAAAACCTTCATAAGAATAGGTTTGTTTTAAAATAAAATTTATTCGATAGTGCATTTTTTTTTTGTCTGAATTTATTTTTAATGTTTAGCTATTATTGACATAGACTGACTTTCTTTGTTTTGTTTCATAGATTTCGACCAATCGATAGTAAAGTAATATTCGGTCGAGCATTCTCATTCTATGATGACCGCGAACGAGCGTTCACATTTCTTCTTTTTCTTCTACATTGTGAACAGAATAAACAAAGAAAAAAAAAATGTGTCTCGACGTATTCCGATCATCTCATTGCTTGGAAATATAAGAGAAAGAAAGAAAATTGCACTATCATTGTCTTCATATGATTCATATTCTTTGTTCGAATCGCTACTGTTCGCTATTGCCTCACACATTCTCATTTCATAGAGAAATTAAGTTGGTGTGTTATTCTTTTTTTCTTTATGAAAATGATTTGTATGTTATATTTTCAGATTAGTTTTATAATACAAAAGTTTAATTAAGAAAATGCCTGGTGGTAAAGCTGGTGAGTGAGACTTTTTATTTTTTTATTACCTTTTTTTTTCTTTAATGTTCTTTGTGTATTTTGTATAGGTAAAGATCATGGCAAATCTAAAGCTAAAGCTGTTTCTCGAAGTGCTCGTGCTGGTCTTCAATTTCCTGTAGGTAAGTTTTCTACTGTTTTTTTTTTCTGTTAATTTTTGTCTTACATTTTTTTTTCTATTGATTAGGTCGTATTCATCGTCATTTAAAATCTCGTACTACATCCCATGGACGTGTTGGTGCAACAGCTGCTGTTTATACAGCTGCTATTCTTGAATATTTAACTGCTGAAGTACTTGAACTTGCTGGTAAAATAATTATTATAGAAACTTGTTTTTTTTTTTAATTGTAAATATTATTTCTAGGCAATGCATCAAAAGATCTTAAAGTAAAACGTATTAATCCACGTCATTTACAATTGGCTATTCGTGGTGATGAAGAATTAGATACATTAATTAAAGCTACAATTGCTGGTGGTGGTGTTATTCCACATATTCATAAGGTTCGTTAGTTAATTTATTTGATTGTTGAATATTGTTTTTTTTTTTTCTCTTTGTTTTAGTCTCTTATTGGAAAGAAAACACCTGTTCAAGGAAGTTTACCTCAAGCACCAGCTAAACCAACTGCACAATAAAAACAAAAACAAATATATATATATATTGAAAAGCAAATAATTATACAGGTTCTCTACATATTTGTTTTTCTCTTTGTTTTGTTCTTGTGTGTTGTTTATCATTGCATCAATGATTGATTTATTCTTTATTTGTGTTTGTGTAAATCAACATATATCATGGCATAGATGTTTATTCTCTTCGAAAAAAAAAAAATAAAATAAAAATTGTCTTTATGTTTATGTGAATTTTTTTTTGTTTGACTAGAAAGAAAAAAAAAACATATATTGAAATAAAATGAGAAAATATAATTAAAATATTTCTGTGGTGATATCATAATTATTGGAAAGGATTTATAAATGATATTGTTTTCTATGGAAATTTGTATTTGATCGTTATCATGAAAGAAGATTGAGATGGTATAAGATAAGCGAGATACATGGCTTATATGTGAAATCAATTAGGATTCGATGTTGATGTCATTTTCGTTATGTTTGGAATGTGGCGAACAAGGTGGTTTTAGTTTTAGTTTAAGCTTAGAGAAAAAGAAAGTTTGTTTCCCTAACGGTATTTCCAAAATGAATGCTGTGTTACTAGAAATATTGATGTTTGAATTTTCACTTAAAACTTTGCATGGAGACAGATCTTAGTAAGAATAGTTTATTGTGAAATTTTTGGATATTGTTAATGTTTCGATCTTAATATCTCAACATACAATTACGTGTCTTTTAACATGGCTGCAATAAACTTGCAGATCTATTGTTCTTATTTCAACTTGGAAGCAAATTAAAAAGTCTGAAACTTTTACAATAAACTATTGTCATTAAAGCTCGTCTCTATACAAAGTTACAAGTTGAAATTTAAGAATTAGTTTTTCTGTTACTACTGCATTCATTTAAACTAAATACCCTAAAAGAGCAGTATCATTGCAATAGTAAGCTAAGGGCAGAAACTTTTCAGGACATTCATAGCTCATTCGGGTTTGCACAGTATTTATTCAAAAGTAATATTCTTCTGATAACAATCAAGAATTAAATAATGTAGCTAAACTCGAATGTTAATATTATTTTCGAACACCAATCGTCTGGTTTACTTTTAAGTTTTTCTTATCTTAGATTACTTTGTCGAAATTTGCATACTGAATGAATCGATATTTT